TTTAAAAATGGGAATCAGCCCTATTAGCGCAAAGATCGCTGCTTGTGTTATATTTTTCAATTTGTGCTTCTTGCATTACATTGCTTCTTAATTTTGTATCATTCAGCACAAAATTTATAAATTTTTATATTATATTTTCAAAGAAACAGAAAACATGTTTGCTAAACTATAAGTTATACTAGTATTGATAAGTTATCCTGATATTATACACTCTATAACAAAAAAATCGACACACCAAGAATGCACTAAGACGCGCAAAATTGGCGACTGATCAGGCTGGAATGATGTCGACTGGGGACGTATAGTCTTTAGCGACGAATCCCGCTTCCAACTGTGTCCTGATGATCATCGAAGACGTGTTTGGAGACGCACAGGGCAGAGGGGGGATCCTGCCTTCNTGTTAAAATAAATAAATATCTAGCATAAAAAATATAAAACAATCTTTCCGAAATAAATTACGCGCTTATAAATCTACGTATAATAATGATATTTATTAAATTTTGCTTATTTGACAAATTATATGTACAAATTCAAAATTATTTTCATTAACCAATTTAACTTTTCTGCAATTTAAAAAGCATTGCAATTTACTAAATGAATGCATTTACTATTTAGTTATCAAATGCAATAAAATAAAAGTATTTAAAAGGAGAAGAAAAATTATTTTCTATGTTTCTATGTATTAAAATAAACTATTTTACGTAAATTCTTAAAAATATTCAACTTATGTAATACTAGTTTCCAGCTTTATCAAATGAAAATCTTCATTAAATAATACCTTACCTGAATTCCCACGTTACCTAACTCTTAGCTTTTTGGATTGCAGTTTGCAGGATTTAAGATCAAATAAAAAAGTCTATATAAATATACAGGATGTTTCACAAATCACTCCGGAATATGGAAGGCTTATAGCAAACAAAGAATTTCCGATACAACAACAAATTTCATTTCATCTGATAAAGAAACAATGCAAGTTTCTTTTTTTCTTCATAAATGTTCAAATATCCCAATCAATCCTTCGTTGTAATTCTCTTAAATCACGAGGCATAGGGGGGACACGAGCACATAATCTTTAATGTAACCCCGTAAAAAATAACAGGGAGTTGAATTTGGAGAGAACAGTGACTATTATGGAAGAAGTAGCTTGTTGTCGTCCGATTTTAGTTCAATCAACACCCCCTGGAAGAGAGAAGGCCTCCACACGGATCAATTTAGTAGTCCGACGTAACGAACATAAACTACGTAGTGATGGGATAAGAATGATGTCAGAAGGTTCGGGCTTCTAAAGAATCGTATTATTTGCTTATGATAACCTGTGCGGAGGCCTTTTCTCTTCTGGGAGTTGCTTCTTCAATCCAACGATTAGGAAGCTCGTTATTTAGAAAACCATGACCATCCGTCTGATAATGGAGGACACCACATCTTGTTGAAAAAGTAAAAACGCATACTCTTCCTGTATTTGTGCCACTAACTGCATTAGCAGCATATCAACGAGGAAACACAACCGTATTCGCTACTATTGATCGTGACATGTTGCAGCGATCGTGGTAAGAATTTGACTTAAAATATGAAGTCTGCCACATCGTTAAAGGTTCACATATTGGACATTTGAGAAAAAAATAGAAAAGAAAAATGCTACGTATCTTTATCAAGTAAAATAAAAAAAAAATTTGATGTGTTGGTGATATTTTGTTTGTTATAGGTTTTCCAACCCGCTGAAGGAACAGAGACACGTCTTGTATAATGATAAGCACAAAATATCGTGGTTCACAAATTTTTTATTATGAAAATAATTGCGTCATTAGTTTTTATTTATCTTTAAAGAAATAAATCACCCTAGAATGATGAAGTGGACGGTAATAAGTTAAGTATGTATACTGAAGTGCACAAAACAGCAAATGACCAGAATAACTTTTAATCTAATGGTCAAATTCTCACGTACTGTAACTTAATATTAATGATTCGAGATCCTAAACTTAAATAGGCTAATTAATTCGTGCAGAAGATATTTTAGGTTACAAAACGAAACACAGAAATCTACTCCGCTGTTTTAAATAAAATATTGGGGAGGGGGGCAGGTAGTCGCAGAGGTGTAGTCAACTCAGTTTTTTTCTCTTCCTTACAATTTGATCTCAGAGTGACTGGGGGCTTTTCGACCCCATTTTAAATTTTAGGTAAGTTAAAAGTTAGTAATCCACAGCGTTTGGCATTGGATTGTTAAATTTTATATTAATTTAATTTTGAAATATTGAATAAAGTTTTTCAAATGTAACTCAGGATAACAATGTAACTCAATATATTCATAACTTTTCATTCGATTTTTCTTAAAAATTTCATGGTACATATTGTTATTATAGTTTCTATTAAACTTATGTTTTTGATCACGTTTATTTATTGATTTTTTATTTATTATTATTTTATTTTATTTTATTTTATTTAACTTTAATTTATGTTATTTCATTTTTTATTGGTTAAATATTAAGTATTTCTAAATGTATTTTTAATATAATATTTTACCATTTTGTCAAAAGTAGTTTTAAAAAAATAATAATCTATATTCAAAGCAATCAATAATTAATTATAGACACCACCTGTCTGTTGAATCTGTAGAAGTTATGAGGTCCGTAAGCATCAAATGAAACTAGGACAATCTATAAAAGAGAACAACAATTTATTCTGAAATTCATTTTTCGCGAATTCGGCACCACTCTAAAGCTACCCTCGGGGACATACGTCCCCCCCCCCGATAGCTGAGCCGCTGGGTAACCGCAATCTGGAAAATATGGTCCCAATAGTTTAATCAGAAAAGCGGTTAAAAGGTTGAACCCTTTACTGCAAATTTTACCTTTTTGCATACTTTGCTATATCTTGGGAATATTTCAAGCAAATTGAAAAGTTTTTTTTTTTTTTTTTTGCACGCAATTATAAAATTTGTTTATTCAAAGATAATTCCATCGAAAAGATAATTGTTAATAATATATATTTTATTTAATAATGGTCGAAAAAATTTTGAATTGTAAATTGTACAAATGAACTTTTACCTCATTTTAAACCCAAAATTTGAGAAGAATCGGCCAAATAGCTTCTAAGAAATAAAAAGTAAAAAAATAAAGAAAAAAAAAAGCTTTGAAATTTCAATACATATCAATGACCGATTTCATTTAAATTTTGTTATTTGAAAGTGCATCGTTAAAAACTATACAATAATTTGTATACCTTATAATTCAAAATTGTTTCGACCTTTATTAAATGAAATAATAAATAATTACTAAAAATTGTTTTTATCAGAGAACTTCTTTTTTCAATATTTCTTCATTTGCTTTGGAAGAAACATATCTTATAAATGTGCACCAAACAATGAGGCAAAAAGTAAAATTGGCATATAGGGGACCAAACTTTTTATCCTTCACTTGACTATACTTAAACTATTAAGACCATATTTTGCAGAATGTGGCTGCCCCCCCCCCTCCGAAATTTTGTTGATAAAAAATTCAAATCCATCAAAAATTAGGCATGTATATTTTTTTATAAAAAAATTTTTGTTCTTGTAACGGATTTTTTAATTTAAAATATCGTCTGCACTAGCTCGTAACCATATTTATTTGACCCTCCAATCATTAAGATTGAGTTCTTGTACATGAAAATCCAATTATTAGATCAAAAGTTATTCAAGGAGCTTGCTTTTTATATATTGCATATTGTACAGGGAAGAAAAAACGTACCACCCTGAATAACTTTTAATCTAATGTTCGGATCTTCACGTTCTAGAACTTAATCTTGAAAGTTTGAGAGAGACTTCAAATAGGGCAATTAATAAGTGCAGGTGGTATTTTGAATTACGAAATCAGACACAAACACGTACTTTCCAGGAATAAACATGCCTTTCTTTATGGATTCGGATTTCTTAGCCCCGAAATATAGAGGGTAGCTGCAATTTGAGAAATATGGTCCCAATAGTTTAAAAAGGAGAGCGCTCCAAATTCAAACCACTTAATGCTAATTTTATTTCTTGCGTATTTCCCAAAATATCTTGAGATTTATATCTTGATTTCTATATCTTGAAAACTTAGTAAACGAATTGAAAAGTTTTTGCATACAATTATAAAATTCGTTTATTCAAAGATAATTCCAAAATAGACGAAATGCTGTCATGAGTCAGCCAATAGTTGTTTTTTCCCAATAAGCAGACCTGATCCTATAATAGTTAATCATGCATTTGGTTAAATTTACTATTTTCGTAGAATATTATAAAAGAAAAATTGCTTTTATACACATGAAAATACTGCTTACACTAGGCTCTTATTTTTTGCTAATTTTGCAAGGAATTTTTAACGAGAACTATTTTGAATAATATTTAATTCGAAAAATGAAATCATAATTATTTTTCTAAAATTGCAAAAAGCAACATCACAAATTAACTTGAAATGAAATATTAACGTGATGATTATTAACCTGAAGCATTTCCTGATTAAAAAAAAAAAAAACAAATATAAAGCGGTTGAGAATACGTTAAAATGTAATAATGGAATCATCAGTTTATGAAAATAAAAGTTGCACTATATTAACACTCTAGAATTACCCAAGAATATTAATCCGCCAATGAAAATGTAATTCGTGTTAAAATAAATAAATATCTAGCATAAAAAATATAAAACAATCTTTCCGAAATAAATTACGCGCTTATAAATCTACGTATAATAATGATATTTATTAAATTTTGCTTATTTGACAAATTATATGTACAAATTCAAAATTATTTTCATTAACCAATTTAACTTTTCTGCAATTTAAAAAGCATTGCAATTTACTAAATGAATGCATTTACTATTTAGTTATCAAATGCAATAAAATAAAAGTATTTAAAAGGAGAAGAAAAATTATTTTCTATGTTTCTATGTATTAAAATAAACTATTTTACGTAAATTCTTAAAAATATTCAACTTATGTAATACTAGTTTCCAGCTTTATCAAATGAAAATCTTCATTAAATAATACCTTACCTGAATTCCCACGTTACCTAACGATGCAAGATGATATTATCTTTTATAGTCCCTTCAACTAATTAGCATTTTATGTATCAAAATTTCAATTTATTTTATTAATATTGACTAAAATATACCAGGTGGTTATTTTTCTACGCGAACTAATCTTTTTTTTCTTTCTTCTTCTTCTTATCCTTAACTTTAACGGAGGCGTTTATTCGCCTCCGCCTTTATACGCCCACAGAATCTTTAGCAATACCCTGGAAAATTCGAAACTCTCGCTCCATTTCGCTAGATCACAATTTAAGCTACATATAAAGAGCAGCGATTTCAGCAAAATGAACCCTTTCTCAAAAATCGTTTTCTTTTTCTTTTTAGGTGAAGCTTAGTTGTTTTTTCTCAAGAAAAATCGTTTTCAAACCACCACTCGATCACTCTGAAAAAAAAAATATCTAGAAGTAATTTTTTTTATAAATATTTACAACAGAATTGAGAGGTAAATATTTTTCAGGTTTTAATATTTAATTAATATGCAACATCTAATTAGAATGAGCTTTTGTTTCATTAAAATTAATTAAAAAAGTTAATTTTAAGCCTCGGATAGTTTTTGTTTTTTATTCTGAAGAAGCTTTTAGATTAAATCAGTTATATGTATAGATGTTTTAATAAAATTAGATTACATAATTTTGATGTAACAAAATATAATCGAAGTTCAAAAGAAAAAAGATGTTCTTGAAGTTGCTTCATTTTTTTAGTTTGTCTAAAAAACTAATTTCTGGGAGCAGTAGTCAAGAATTGAATAAACAGCTTCGTTGAATGATTCACAAAATTTGGCGTTTAGTGTATAAAAAATGATCTTACACCGGCACTTAACCGCTTTTACTCTAAAATATGTTTGTTCACATTTAGTTATTTATTTTACTTTAACTCAGTTTATTTATTTTTATTTATTTATTTTATGTTTGTTTATTCTGTTTTACTTTTATTTATTTTATTCTTATTTATTTTGTTTTATTTTTATTTATTTATTTAAATCAATAATTTTCAATTTAAGTCACTGGTGTCTCGAATTTCACGCATGAAGTAATCTTCATAGAAGACTGATTTTCTTTTTTATTAAAAACGGAGATTTTTTTTATGATTCAATTTTTATTGTTTCACAGTATAGGGTTTTGTGTAAAATAACACACCTGGTGGTCTTACTGATTTTCTGGTACATAAGGACACTTTTGTTGAAATTCTGAATGACAGTTTTGCCAAACTGAAATTTATTGAATTTCTGTGTTACAAAAACTCAATTCACTCTATTACTTCCTTCAAGTATTTGTGGGCTTGTTTAAAAACCTTAAATTAAAAAAAAATTTTATTAACCAGCTTTATGTCGCATGGTCTGGGAGGCCAGATATGTTCACCAAAAACGGAAAAAGACACGACCAGGTACTTTTTTCTACATATATTTTATAAAAAATAAATCATATTTTCCTGCCGTTCTATTATATTTTTTCCTGCATCTGCCATTCCCCCCTCCTCAAAATCAGCCTTAAGTGCAGAGACCTATCAGGAATTTTTCCAGTGCTCTAAATAATCAGTCAGGGTCATTTTTAAAATAAATAAATAAAGGAAATTTAGATTCAATTGAAAATCACTTATACTCTATCATTCAAATCATTATTTATCATTCATGCTAATCTGTTGCCGATCTCTATAATATAACTCAAAAATATTTCATTCTTAAGTGACTATTACCATATGGTTTCAGTCACTTAACATATATACTTAAGAATATATATACTTAAAAATATATATACTTAAGAATATATATACTTAAGAATTAAGAATATATAAGAAGACTATAACCTTATTCTTATAGTCACTAGATCTATATAAACATTTTCGTCGAAGAAGTAATAGCGCTTTATTGTAACTAATTAAGACTACAACGAAACAATTAACGCTTCTCAGGACAGAGAATGGCAATAGATACAAAGGCCGCTGAACTTTTGTTTTTGCATAGGCACGAAAGTCCGGAACGAAAGACTTGTTTATTCGAGTTCACAAACTAATCTCTGTGTGTCTTTCTATCTCTCAGGCATCGAATAAAAGAGAGTGGGGGGAACTGGGGAGGGGAATCTTTTCTGCATCACCTCTTGGTAATAAATACCCGAATCTCATTACAGCGTCGCGCATTCAATTTGTGACGCTTTGTTTTTTACTGACGTGATAATAATTAGAAGGTATGTTTTAACCAGTGTCTTATCGACGTAGGGTCATACTCCAAAATGCCTGCCGGTAGGGGAGGGGGAGGGCAATTTCGTCGCTAAAAATGCAGTCTCGCCTGCAGGTGCTTACAAATCGTTTTCGTTCAAAACGATCGTCTGCAGATTTTCTCAGGATGTTCTAAATGACATTTTTATGTGTGAGGTTGTCATCGTGATGAGAAATTGTTCAAACAAGACAAGTTCTTTTTTTTGTTGTCATTCTTATTTAAATCGGTTCAAGCATTAGTCCTCAATCTTGAATTTCGTAAGGTGGTTGTATGACGTTGGATACTTCAATACGGCTCGTTTTTTATTTTATTTATTTATTTAAAGAGAAAGAGGAAGGAAGATCAACATTTTTAGAACACTATTTTGTTTTCACATTGTTATCCATATTTTGTGATTCCTTTCTCTAAGAACAACGCTCTTAAAATATTCTCATAACAATATCTTTATTACAATGTTATGTTATTATTACAATATTATTATTATACAATATTAAAATGACAATATTATAATTACACCATTATTATTACATTATACAAGTTCTATCGAACAATATTAATAATAATCAAATTTCAATGCATGAGATAAGTTTATTTTTAGCATGGTTCTTTTTATTTTTAGAGCAATCTGATATTCTTCAAAACCATCAAATACTTTGTGATTCTTTTTTTTTAAGAACAACTCACTTATAACAATGTCTTAACAATATTATAATTACAATGTTTTTTGTAACAATATAAAATGTGTATCGAACAATACTAATAATAATCAAATTTCAATGAATGAGATAAGTTTATTTTCAGCATTTTTTTAAAATTTTTTTAGAATCTTCTGAAATTCTTCAAAACGATCAGATACTTCGTTTCTTTTTCTCTGAACAAGTAAATGATAATAATGTCATGGCAATAATTACAATGTTATTATTACATTATACAATTTGTATCGAACAATATTAGTAATAATCAAATTTCCATGAATAAGATAAGCTTATTTTTAGATTTTTTTTTTTTTAGAATCATCAGAAATTCTTCAAAACTATCAGATACTTAGACATACTTGATTCATAATATCATAACAATATACTTATAATATAATGTTTGAGTCGAACAATTATAATAATAATTAAATTTCAATAAATGATTCTATTTTTAAAAATTTTTTTGTTTCATTTGAAATCATTGAAAATTTTTCAAAACCTTTATACAATTGCACTTTGTGATCCTTTTTTCTGAGAAGAACTGGTTCACAATAATGTGATAATGATAACAATATAATAACAGTATAGTGTCTGTGTCAAACAATAGCAATAAAAATCAAATTTAAATTACTGGCTTTATTTTTAAGAATTTTTTCTTTTAGATTCGTATAAAATTTTCAAAATCTTCACATTAAGTGGATAATAAAGTTTAAACTCAAATTTATCATTAAAATTAATTTAGCCGTGGGGGGAGGTAATTTTCTCAAGAACAAGAAGTATTAGTTTTATATAAACAGCTGGCCTATAAATGTCATTGTCTTCAGTCAAGATTCGATTCAGAGCCCTTCGGATTCGTAGTAGCATGCTCTAACCTACATAGTTGTACGGTAGTAGTCCAGAGCGAGTCAGGAATCTTTATATAGTAGCCGTCGCAATGACACTTCATGATGTTTTAATTTCCAATATCAATGGTACAAAGATTGCAATTTGAAAAATATGGTCCTAATATCCTATAGCTTAGTCAGGATATTGGTAATTTTAATATCACTCTTTGCTTATTTCACTGCATTTTTAAAAACTTTCATGGTAATAGAATATGAATAGATATAAAGTTTCCAAACTTTCCCTGGCTTGGGTTATTCCACTATCGTATCTATCGTATCGTTACCTGGCTTGGGTAGCATCCCACTACATACCCGGAGGTTCTAGGTTCGAAACCTGACAGCAGCCAACGATCATCTCTCACATACTTCCAATCCCCATCACCTTTGAGACTTTGCTTTTTGCTCAAAAATGAGCATATGCTATTTTAATCATGAATGCATGGAGTTTTTAGTTTCGATTGTCGTTTGTTGTTGCCATAAGCCATTAAGGCCCTGAAGCTGCGATTGTTCTTGTTTTCCAGTGCCGCCATCTGTGACCAAGAATTCGACTTCTGCCACACCCATACTCGCTTACAGGGCGGACCCATTCATATGTCCATTCATTCATCCACAGATCGTAATTTTAACCTGAACCAGAGAACGACCTATCTCCAATCCAGTACCCCTAGAGTTAAAATTTGTTATGGGAACATGGCGGACTTTGTGGCCCGACAGATTTAGCGTGCACCAATCACCATTCACTATACGGGAAGTTTTCGGTCTAGTGGATTCGCACTACCGTTCTCACGAACGTAAGTCCAGCGCCCTACCAACCAGGCTACCCTGGCCCTGATTGTCATTTGTTTTGGTGGTATTTTGACGCTTTTTTCCTCAATTTTGAGAATTCCTTTTTTTCTTAAAGCATTTAATAAATCACTTTGCACATATTATAACATGTATACAATTATACTATATTACATATGTAGCCTAATTTATTCAAATTCAATTCTAATTTTATTATTATTTCTCAAAAATTTAAATTAAATATTGAAGTAAAGAGATACATTTGATATAAATTAAAATATACCAACGAATAACATTAATTTGTATCAGAAATTATAATTAATCCATTTTATATGAAATATTCATGGATTTCAAATGAAAATTATATTCTATGAAATAAAATTTACGGTGATGTAAATATCAAAATAATATAAATTAGCAATTTAATTAGAACATACATCGCTAGCTTGCAACAAATTATCTTTAAACTTTCATAAAATAATTTTAAAACTCAATATATAATCCAAATATTTTTTGAAATTCATGACTATTGAATTCGTTAGATATTATTCCTTTATACAACTGAGCATAAAGAAATTTAATTATAACGAATCTCATTTCAGTTA